ATAACCGTACCGTCTAAGGATTATGACATGATAACTGTACCGTTTGAGAATTATGACATGATAACTGTACCATTTAATCTAGAGCTGCCTTGATTTCTGGTGTATATATACATTTTCAAGGTTGGTTTTAATGTGTGTTTTTTTAGTTGACTGTGTTCAACTGTAATTAAAATTATTTATTAAGTTATTAAATCAATATATGTATATTGTTATTAATTACTATATTTCTTTAAATTCATTATTTGATTGTAGATCCAAAGTTACACTTCAACAACGCTTGTGGAAAGCAGTTCACTGGATATCATATTGTAAAACAAAAATGTATCTTTTCCAAGGCAAAGAATTACAAATCCCTAAATCCAAATAGTGTTAATGGATTTAATAGAACACTGTTGAGGGTAAATAACAAAAGAACATATAACATTTCTTATAGTGAAGCTAAATCATGCAGTAATATTGAGTGTGAAAAAGAATTGAAAAGAAATCATCATCTAAAATTAAATGTGAAGCCACACACAGGGAAGAAGCAACACAGGTGTGGAGTGTGTGGCAAACAATTTTTAAAAGTTTGTTACTTAAAAACACATTTGAGGAAACATACTGGAGAAAAACCATTCAAATGCATAGTGTGTGGAAAAGAATTTGTGACACAGAGTAATTTAAAAAGACATCTGAAGATACACACTGGGGAGAAACCATACAGTTGTGTGATGTGTGGCAAAGAATTTGGAACAAATACTTGCCTACAAGCACATGTGAGGATACACACTGGAGAGAAACCATACAATTGTGTAGTGTGTAATAAAGGATTTCGAATTGTTGGTCATTTGAAAATACATGAGAGAATACATACTGGGGAGAAACCGTACACTTGTGTATTGTGTAATAAAAAATTTAGAAGTAAAAGTAATCTTAACAACCATAAGAAGATGCACATCAGAGAAAAACCACACAGTTGTTTAGTGTGTAATAAAACATTTGAGAGTGAAACTAAACTTAAAAGACATGAGAGGATACACACTGGGGAAAAATGTCACAGTTGTGTAGTGTGTGGCAAAGAATATGGAAGAAGCAGTCATCTTAAAACTCATCAGAGGACACATACTGGAGAGAAACCATATAGTTGTTTAGTTTGTGGCAAAAAATTTGGAAGAAATAGTTTTCTTATTGTTCACCAAAGGATACACACTGGAGAGAAACCATACTCTTGTGTAGTGTGTGATAAAAAATTTAGGACAAAATGTCATGTAAACAGACATGAGAAGGTACATACTGGAGAGAAACCATACAGCTGTATAGTGTGTGAAAAAAATTTGTAACAAATTCTTATCTACAGGAACATGTGAAGATACACAGTGGAGAGAAACCATATAATTGTGTAGTGTGTAGCAAAGGATTTCGTTTCAGTTGTCTGTTAAAATGACATGAAAGTATACATACTGGGTAGAAACCATACACTTGTATAGTTTGTGATAAAAAATTTAGCTGTAAAAATCATCTTAATAGACATGAGAGGTTACCCACTGGTGAGTTGTGTAGTGTGTGGTGAAGGATTTGAAACAAATAATGACTTGAAAAACATGAGAATATATACATACACTGAGTTGTTTGGTGTCGCAAATTTAAGAATCAGTTAACTAGAAGAAGATGTGAGGATACACCATGCAAGGAATTTGTACATAGTAATCATCTTATAAATGTACACAGTTGAAAGGAAACTGCAAATATCTAAAACAGATAATATACATACTTATTGTTACGTTAGGGTTTTTAATTTAGAGCATAGTGATATACTTTGTCCTGCTCTTGTCGATTAGGCTTAACAAGTGTCTGTTAGTTTCAGTTTACCAGTAGTTCTACTTATGGGTAAATTGATAATTTAGTTAAATATCGTGTTATCTTCAACACATAACATCTAATGCATT